CTTTAACAGTCAAATGAAAAACAAAAACTTCCACGACTGAGACGTATATATATATATATATATATATATATATATATATATATATATATATATATATATATATATATCAAAGTGTTTGGGTTAAGGCACTTGTCGGTGCCACAAGCGCTGCAAATTGAGTCAATTTTATTGTGCTAGTTCAATTTGTTTCAATATTCTAGATGTTTTTGTAGGGATCCTTAAATATAAAAAAAAGAGAAAAACAAATAATTGCTCTTCTTTCTTCATTTTAAATCTAAATTTTAGGCATTCACTACGACACAATTCAGAGATACGTGTTAAATGTGTCACACCCTGTTTGTACGGCCAACTTTAAAGGCAAATAAAAACCACATCACTGGTGATTTTACAATTTTATTGATATCACAGATACAGCAGCTACACTAACAAAACAAACGACTTTCACTTTCAATCTCCCTCACTTCCACCTTTCGTTTTGCGCATGCGCCTGCTCACAAATTTTTTTAGATTTATATTCCTACGTAGCCTTTTTACACCTCCACTCGAGACATACATTCACCCCACACAAATACTCCCATTTGACTGTTACATATGCCCTTTCTCCCCTTTAAAAAATTAATTCATTATTTTTTTCTTATATAGATCACATTTACTATAAAATCTTCATTATACATGTAACAGTTAAATAGAATTTATATTGAAAAAGAAACTTGCTATTTAACATCCTAAATTTTTTTATATGTAACACTTACCAAATTGAAACAATGATATTCATAAAATACATGGCAAAATGCAAAACTTCACTTAACTTATTAGTATCGCCAATAAGGAAAATTGTAACTAAGGTAAACCTTCTTTGTTTAATAATAACAAAACCTCACTAAGGTATACTCCCTCTTAGTGGAACAAAATCATAGCTATGCAATAGCTCCCATGGGCAAATAATATCCTTGATTTTCCTACTTCAATGGCTGAGGTAAACTCCTCATCATAACATATGTAAATTACCACATCTGTCAACTCATACTGCCATAGTCATGTTCATTACTTAACAAGATATACAGTATACATACAAACCACAGAAATACAACAAAATGTATGTTTATTTGCATTACTAAATTAAAATAGTTGTAAAAATATATTTATACTAGTCATGTTATAACTTATTCCTATCTTGTTCACACTTTGAAAATATTAATTTTCTCTGGTAGTAAATATCACATACTTCATTATTTAAAATTCCATTATAAGGATTGGCTGATATGTCTCAGGTCATTATTTTTTAGTCAGTTCTATGTTTGTTTTTTCATCTTCAATCTGTCTTGATATAAATCAGCTAGCGAATTGTGGTGTCCCTTTACTGTTTTTATCTCAAACTTAAAATCTAATAAAATCAGTGCCCATCTATTTATTTTGCTATTCATTATCATTTTCTTATTGATTTTGATCAATGGCTTATGATCTTTTCTAAGAGTAAAGTGTCTTCCTAATAAATATTTCTGTAATTTATTCAATGCCCACACAATTGCTAGGCACTCTCTCTCTCTGAATCACTGCATATCTTTGTTCTGTTGGTGATAATGCCCTGCTGAGGTATTGTACTTTGTATAGTTTATTACCCTAGCAAACTCCTAACGCTATATTTGATGCATCAGTAAAAGAGAGTGAAATGCTTACTAAAATCTGGTGACATCAGTACCTTGTCACTCATGAATTCAGCCTTTATTTTATTTAAAGCACTTTCACATTCCTGTGTCCATACTAGTTTAACTTTGTCTTTGGATACCAATTCTCTTAAAGGAGTAGTAAGTTCAGCATATTTATCTACACAAATATTATAAAAATTGCATAGTCCTAACAATGATTTCACCTCTTTCTTTGTACTAGGAGTTTTGTTATTTAATATTTTGTCCCTTTCCTTCAGTAGGTTTAATTTCTTAATTTCAACCTTAAATCCTAAGAATTCTACTGTATCTACTCGCACATGCAGTTTCTCTAGTGCTATTGTAACCCCATGTTTCCTAAGTCTTTCTAGTAGTTCTTTTAGTGTTTCTATGTGTTCTGACCATGTGTTATTATCTATGCATATATCATCAACAAAGAAGACCAGGTTTTTCATTCCCTCTGTCATTTTACACATGAATTTTTGGAACGTGGCGGTACTGTTCACAAGTCCGAACGGCATCACCTTCCATTGACATAGACCTTTGCTTGATGTAAAGGCGGTGTATTGTCTTGAATCCTTTTCCATGCCTCTTTCCCCGAAGCCTCTGTTCAAATCACAAGTGGTGAAAATTGAGGATTTACCAATAGTTTCCAAAATGTCTTTAGGATCATTCATGGGTTCAGCATCTATCTTAGTCCTTTTATTCAACTCTCGATAGTCACAACATATCCTTACTTTGTTGTTCTTTTTTCTTACTATCACCATGGGTGATGAGTATGCTGATTCTGTTCTTTCTATTTGCCCAGACTCAAGGAGCAAATCCAGTTCTGCTTCAACAGCTTGTCTGTAGGCAACTGGTACTTGGTAATGCTTCCCTTTCGTAGCACTATAATCAGTCAATTCTATTTTGTGTTGAATTGTTTCAGTAAAAACCCATTTCTGTTGTAATCACATCCTTGTACTCATTTACTATTTTGTCTATTATGTTTTTCTCATCCACTGGGATATGATTAGTCTTAATTTCCTTTGTATTACAGCTTTCACTTATTATAGTACAGGCTATATGCTCCTCTTCTATCAGTTTCTCTGGCTCTACATATAATTTCTTTATTCTGTCTATGTGTATATGCGTGTTATTTCCCTTTATGTTTATTTCATAATTTACATCAGATAGTTTCTTTATCACTTCAAAAGGTCCTTGAAATACTTCTGTTTTTTCTGTCTGGCTGATTGACAAAAACTAAATCTCCTCTTTCAAAAGTTCTTAAATATCTATGTTTATTTTTTATATTTCTGTGCCTTTCACTGGCTAACTACGCATTCTCTTGGGCTGTCTGGACACCATAAACTATTCTCTCTTTAGTATGGTTTACTAGTTCATGAGGATCAAATTCCTCTTCATTTTTACTTAATAATTTGTGTTTCAATAAAGTTAATGGGTCTATTGGCTTTACCCCTTATATCAGTTCAAAAGGAGAAAAACATGTTGACTCATGTTTAGTCTCTCTGTATGCAAATAGCACCTGCGGAAAATGCTTGTACCATTCACCAGGGTGATCTTCTGTTACCTTTTTTAATATAATCTTCATTGTTTTATTCCATCTCTCATTCATCCCATTCGCTTGTGGATGGTATATGGTACTATGTATTTGTGCAATGTTCAAGAAGCTTGTGAATGCATTTGTTAAGTTGGCTTTAAACTGTGTTCCATTGTCTGATAAAATCGTATCAGGAAAACCGAATCGTGTGCATACACCCATCAAAGCATCACATATAGCTACAGCTGTAATCTCTCTAAGTGGTATTGCCTCTGGCCATCTGGTTGCCCAATCCACTATAGTTAATATGAACTTGTGGCCCTGGGAAAAAGGGTGTTCCATAGGTCCAACTATTTTCACTGCTATCTTCTGGAATGGTCTTGTAACTCTATCTGTCTGTTGTAGAGGTGAATTATGTTTCCCATTAACAGGATTGAATTCTATGCATTTGGTGCATTTTTGTATGTGTTTTTTTATGTCTTCTTTCATTAAAGAAGACATAGAAATCTTCAGTTATTCTCTAACATGTATTTTTTTCTGCCATGTGTGTCCGCAATGGACTCTATTTTAGCCTTTGCTAGTTCCTTATCAGCCACTATTTTAGCTATTTCCTTATCAGCCTCTATTTTAGCTATATCAGCCTCTATTTAGCTTTAGCTAGTTCCCTCTCTAAAGCTCTATCTTTCCTTTCAGCTGCATCAGATATCTTCCTTCCAGCATCTGATATTTTATTTTAAACCGATTTGGCCTTTTCTGCACCAGTATATCCTAAAGAGTCAGCCAACTCAATCATTTTGGCATAGTCCTCAATATTATTATTAATGGTCCCAGAAAATTACTCAATTACCAAAATGTCAACAATATCGAAAAAAATTAATTTTAGAGTCCTTTACAGTGCGGATCACTGCTCACTTCCGACACCAAAATGTCACACCCTGTTTGTACGGCCAACTTTAAAGGCAAATACAAACCACATCACTGGTGATTTTACAATTTTATTGATATCACAGATACAGCAGCTACACTACCAAAACAAACGACTTTCACTTTCAATCTCCCTCACTTCCTCCTTTCTTTTTGCACATGCGCCTGCTCACAATATTTTTTAGATTTATATTCCTACGTTGCCTTTTTACACCTCCACTCGAGACATACATTCACCCGGCACAAATACTCCCACATTTGACAGTTACAAAATGATTTTGCGCCATTTAGACTGTTGACTCCGATTTCAGCCTGCTTTTCTGTCAAAAACCAATAATATTGTTAAACTGTGTAATTTATGTGTATAGCTTAGATAATCACATTTGCACAAGCCTGGCTTATCTGCCTTATATTCTTTCACAATGTTTACAAGCGAACTGCTTTTATTTTACTACTGCTTTTAATTATTATATAAATAATTAAATCTGTGCTTAGAAAAAAGAGCAAATGCTATTTTATTGTCATCCATGAACACGCAACATAAAGAAAGGAAAGCAGATATTTTTTTGGAAGGGAGTGAGGTGGAGAAGATATAAGATAATTATGAGGGATTAACCAGTTGTTGTGGGGATATGAACTCGTCGTTTTTTTGGCTTAAAGTTATCCATGTAATTTCATTTGCTAATTGTAAAATTCAAAGTTAAGAAATGACCGACGATAACATACATCGCAATACTACTATTGCAAAAGAAAACATTAGCTGTGTTAAATATCTCTTTGACCCATTAATCAGCGTTTATAATATCTTTATATCTGGCGACACAGCTTAATGTTCTGTTATGATCCGCGTTCATGTAGTAAAAAACAAAAGAAAAAAAATAACTTTAAAAACATTGTCAATGTCAGATGTTTATTTTTTCTAGAAGTTTATTTTATTCATTTTGTGTTCTGCAAGGGAGAAACGTAAAACAGAGTTAATAAAATAAAACATTACAGTTTTATTTACAATCCAATATATATATATATATATATATATATATATATATATATATATATATATATATATATATATATATATATATATATATAATATATATATATATATAAACAAATAATAAATTTCTAAACATACTGACTTTTCCATATTATTTACTTTTTTTAATTTACATAGCACGCAAACTTGTGATGCGCATATTTAAACTTGTACATCATAAATCTATGATTGTTTCTAATTCAATATGTAGACAACGTTTCTTTTTGTTATAATTTGATCTTCGCAATCCGTTTTATATTGGCCATGGATTTTCCGGGTATTTTGACGAGCTATTTTGCCATTACCCATAATTAACAGGGTTTTCTTTACACAATTTGGTTTGGGGTGGTCAAGGTCTAGGTCTAGGTCTAGGTCTAGGTCTAGGTCTAGGTCTAGGTCTAGGTCTAGGTCTAGGTCTAGGTCTAGGTCTAGGTCTAGGTCTAGGTCTAGGTCTAGGTCTAGGTCTAGGTCTAGGTCTAGGTCTAGGTCTAGGTCTAGGTCTAGGTCTAGGTCTAGGTCTAGGTCTAGGTCTAGGTCTAGGTCTAGGTCTAGGTCTAGGTCTAGGTCTAGGTCTAGGTCTAGGTCTAGGTCTAGGTCTAGGTCTAGGTCTAGGTCTAGGTCTAGGTCTAGGTCTAGGTCTAGGTCTAGGTCTAGGTCTAGGTCTAGGTCTAGGTCTAGGTCTAGGTCTAGGTCTAGGTCTAGGTCTAGGTCTAGGTCTAGGTCTAGGTCTAGGTCTAGGTCTAGGTCTAGGTCTAGGTCTAGGTCTAGGTCTAGGTCTAGGTCTAGGTCTAGGTCTAGGTCTAGGTCTAGGTCTAGGACTAGGACTAGGTCTAGGTCTAGGTCTAGGTCTAGGTCTAGGTCTCGGTCTCGGTCTCGGTCTCGGTCTCGGTCTAGGTCTAGGTCTAGGTCTAGGTCTAGGTCTAGGTCTAGGTCTAGGTCTAGGTCTAGGTCTAGGTCTAGGTCTAGGTCTAGGTCTAGGTCTAGGTCTAGGTCTAGGTCTAGGTCTAGGTCTAGGTCTAGGTCTAGGTCTAGGTCTAGGTCTAGGTCTAGGTCTAGGTCTAGGTCTAGGTCTAGGTCTAGGTCTAGGTCTAGGTCTAGGTCTAGGTCTAGGTCTAGGTCTAGGTCTAGGTCTAGGTCTAGGTCTAGGTCTAGGTCTAGGTCTAGGTCTAGGTCTAGGTCTAGGTCTAGGTCTAGGTCTAGGTCTAGGTCTAGGTCTAGGTCTAGGTCTAGGTCTAGGTCTAGGTCTAGGTCTAGGTCTAGGTCTAGGTCTAGGTCTAGGTCTAGGTCTAGGTCTAGGTCTAGGTCTAGGTCTAGGTCTAGGTCTAGGTCTAGGTCTAGGTCTAGGTCTAGGTCTAGGTCTAGGTCTAGGTCTAGGTCTAGGTCTAGGTCTAGGTCTAGGTCTAGGTCTAGGTCTAGGTCTAGGTCTAGGTCTAGGTCTAGGTCTAGGTCTAGGTCTAGGTCTAGGTCTAGGTCTAGGTCTAGGTCTAGGTCTAGGTCTAGGTCTAGGTCTAGGTCTAGGTCTAGGTCTAGGTCTAGGTCTAGGTCTAGGTCTAGGTCTAGGTCTAGGTCTAGGTCTAGGTCTAGGTCTAGGTCTAGGTCTAGGTCTAGGTCTAGGTCTAGGTCTAGGTCTAGGTCTAGGTCTAGGTCTAGGTCTAGGTCTAGGTCTAGGTCTAGGTCTAGGTCTAGGTCTAGGTCTAGGTCTAGGTCTAGGTCTAGGTCTAGGTCTAGGTCTAGGTCTAGGTCTAGGTCTAGGTCTAGGTCTAGGTCTAGGTCTAGGTCTAGGTCTAGGTCTAGGTCTAGGTCTAGGTCTAGGTCTAGGTCTAGGTCTAGGTCTAGGTCTAGGTCTAGGTCTAGGTCTAGGTCTAGGTCTAGGTCTAGGTCTAGGTCTAGGTCTAGGTCTAGGTCTAGGTCTAGGTCTAGGTCTAGGTCTAGGTCTAGGTCTAGGTCTAGGTCTAGGTCTAGGTCTAGGTCTAGGTCTAGGTCTAGGTCTAGGTCTAGGTCTAGGTCTAGGTCTAGGTCTAGGTCTAGGTCTAGGTCTAGGTCTAGGTCTAGGTCTAGGTCTAGGTCTAGGTCTAGGTCTAGGTCTAGGTCTAGGTCTAGGTCTAGGTCTAGGTCTAGGTCTAGGTCTAGGTCTAGGTCTAGGTCTAGGTCTAGGTCTAGGTCTAGGTCTAGGTCTAGGTCTAGGTCTAGGTCTAGGTCTAGGTCTAGGTCTAGGTCTAGGTCTAGGTCTAGGTCTAGGTCTAGGTCTAGGTCTAGGTCTAGGTCTAGGTCTAGGTCTAGGTCTAGGTCTAGGTCTAGGTCTAGGTCTAGGTCTAGGTCTAGGTCTAGGTCTAGGTCTAGGTCTAGGTCTAGGTCTAGGTCTAGGTCTAGGTCTAGGTCTAGGTCTAGGTCTAGGTCTAGGTCTAGGTCTAGGTCTAGGTCTAGGTCTAGGTCTAGGTCTAGGTCTAGGTCTAGGTCTAGGTCTAGGTCTAGGTCTAGGTCTAGGTCTAGGTCTAGGTCTAGGTCTAGGTCTAGGTCTAGGTCTAGGTCTAGGTCTAGGTCTAGGTCTAGGTCTAGGTCTAGGTCTAGGTCTAGGTCTAGGTCTAGGTCTAGGTCTAGGTCTAGGTCTAGGTCTAGGTCTAGGTCTAGGTCTAGGTCTAGGTCTAGGTCTAGGTCTAGGTCTAGGTCTAGGTCTAGGTCTAGGTCTAGGTCTAGGTCTAGGTCTAGGTCTAGGTCTAGGTCTAGGTCTAGGTCTAGGTCTAGGTCTAGGTCTAGGTCTAGGTCTAGGTCTAGGTCTAGGTCTAGGTCTAGGTCTAGGTCTAGGGGGGACCGAAAATATTTTTTTTTGCGGGGTGGCCCTTTTTTTCTAGTTCCGCCACTGCCCCTCCCCATATTTCATAGATCAAAAATTAATCATCAATAAAATGACTCAACTGCATCGCTAAATATTTGAAATTTTAACTTACATTTCATGTTTTCTTCTGTAGAACCGAATCTTACAATAATAAGAACAATTTCGTCGAAATTTTCGAAATTTTCCATTAACTACCAACTAATCGGTGCAAAGATACCACTGAAATTAAAGAGAGATTATCAGGTTGCGTTTTTAAAAACATTTTTCCAAAGTTGCTTCCCTTTCTTTTAAATCAGGAACGGAGACATAACAGTGAAGTGGTTGCTTGTTGCAGCTTTTGGATATGGTTAGTGGGTTGGGGGTTGGTGAAGAAGATTGCTTGTTAGTAGAGATGACATAGGTGGGTTAGTAAGGTAGGTGTGTTTATGAGCTAGATGTGTTGGTAGGTGTGTTTGTAAGGTAGGTGGGTTGTTAAGGTAAGTGGGCTTGTGAGGTAGGTGGTGTCATAGCGTAGATATTGGACTAGACTAGTAGATGTTACTAAGGACGGTACGAACTTGACGGTAGACGATTTGGTGTGAGAGAATTGTGCCCGTGTGCAATAAAATATTTGTGGCGCGAGTGTGACGAGAGCATGACGAGACAATGTATTGATAACGTAAGACGCATCAGTGAAGTTAGTTGGGGTTAGATATAGTAGAAGACGGACGTATTCTTTAATATAGTGCAACTGATCTATCATCGTGTGTTAATAAAGTTCATGCTATTTCATAAACGAAGTTGTTAACATTTTTAATTAGTGTCTGCGGAACATACGAGTGATTCCCGTCGTCCTAACAAGTATAATAGTTGCCGTATGAATAGTAGTAGACCAGATCAGAATATATAGAGAAGATTATATATAAACCACCCATCACAGATGGGTTGGTGGTATAAGTGGATTCGTGAGGTAGTTGGGTTGGTAAGGAATGTGGGTTGGTAAGGTAAGTGGATGGGTTTGTAAGGTAGGTGTGTCAATTAATCCGGTGTGTTAGGGAGGTAGTTGGGTTGGTGATGTGGATGGGTTGGTGAGGTAGGTGGGTTGGTAAGACATGGGGGGTAGAGAGATTGATGGGTTGGATAGGTATGCGGAATGGTGATGAAAATTTAAATGTTGTCCGTCGTTATTTCAGTGGATCGCTGATTTCTAAGAAACGATGGCGAATTAATAAAAACAACAGTTGGGTCTATTGGGTCACTTTAGTATCTATTGGATACCTTTACTAATATTTAGGAAGTGACCCACGCTTTTCTTTATAGTAATTTAAAAAGTAGTGTCTAATATTTAGGAAGAGACCCACGCTTTTCTTTATAGTTATTTAAATAGTAGTGTATAATTTATTTTCTACTTTTTAGTGCATTATTACATAAAAGCTTGTTATTAAAACGTTTTTTATGGAAAAAAATTCAGTACTTTACATGTTTTATTTACTTGACTAAAAACCAGTGTCAAGTTTATAGCTAAAGCTTCAGTAAAATATTATGGGATGGCGTAGTCTAGTGGTAAAGAAATAGACTGCTCACCCGACTAAATCCATCGAGCGCCTATTGAACCTGATCACGCGCTTTTGACATAGAGCACCCGTCGCTCAACGCCCAACACGGCCCTGATGACGCGTGTGGATTGAACTGCCTGCTAATTCAGTCCAAATTTTAATTGATTCATAAAAAATTCATTAGGCATCCAATCAAGTCAAATTTAACCCATATTATCCCAAGGTCTCAAATTTTTATAATTTTTTGATATGGTTTAGCTTTTGGGCACTGAATGAAGGAATGACTATGGATTTTTTTTTTAAATCAATACTTTTTTAAATATCGATTTTTTAAAAAACGTCCCATAAATGGGACGCTAGCAACGAACGGCCCCATGTACATTTATTGAAAAATAAAATCATTTTTCACGAAATATGGCTAATCACGCGAAAATTAAGCTGTATACTGATTTTGTATTGTTATACCAATGATTTCATTGTTTAGGACAGCTAAAAATACTGATAATGATCAATTGGGTTAGCCATACCATGGTCTAAAATGCAGAAATTATGTTCAAAAGTCTAGTTTTCTTTCAATCTAGCATCCATCAAAGTGAACAACACTTGGAAATAAGTAAAGCTGTGACTAGTACATCTAATTATACACACATGATCACAAATATTGTTATTATTCATCGAAACTGTAATATAATTAAATATAAATAATTGATTTTTTGGGGGACGTACATGAAATTTTCAGGGGTGGGGACTTAAATTTTAGGGGAAGGGTGGACATTGGTAAAAGTATGTTTTGTATATAAATTCCATTTTCTTCTGGTGGCAGAGCCCCCTCCCCCTCCTCCGAAATGATGTCTGAAAGAAACTCTGCCCTTAGTGAATTTGCAAAAGATGATCCGGTCCAGTCCCAGATGTCATCCAGCCATCTTCTCTTTTGTTACCCTCGCTATTCCCCCCGCCCCCACAGGCGTACATTAGGACATCATACATCTTATTTCTAGGGCACGGATCTGTCTCTGGGGGCTTGTATTGAGTGTTCATGGCTCTCATCCATGTATGCACCTCACTATGCGAACAGCTCCCAATCTAACAGCAGGAATCTCCTTAAAAAGTTAACAAAGTAAAGCTGGTATCGGTAACCTTTTGAGGGGGATATTATTGGGGCATGATAACTGTACACAGCTAATTCACATTTCTGCTATATGTAGCTTAAGCTCTCTTATATAAATAGAGTTAATCAACCCCCATGAATGAATCATTTCACCTAAATCGTGGCCATTGTTATTATTCTTGTTTGTTATAATTTTAATATCACGCGCTAGTAAATTTACAGCAATACTAAATTAGTTTGTATTCAATGGTATTAAATACTTCAGTAAGTGTAATTCTGAAAACTTAAAAATAAAATGTAAGTTTTTCAGTATTTGCAATTTTCTATACAATAATATATAAGAAAATATAGCTCAAGGTCATAATTAAATATCTATAAATACTACTTAACACCCCAAGGTCAACAGTTAACAAAGTCAACAATTGTTTCACCATAAATAACCATTTAACATAAATATTTGCATCTGTGTTTCACGCTAGTGTCCAATAAATGTGACGTTTGTGTAACAATCTGCATAAATATAGGTCAAGGTCATAATTAAATATCTATAAATACTACTTAACACCTTAAAGTCAGCAGTTAACAAAGTCAACAACTGTTTCACCCTAAATAACCATTTAACATAAACATTTGCATCTGTGTTTCTCGCTAGTGTCCAATAAATGTGACGTTTGTGTAACAATCTACATGGGGCCATTAGTTGCTAGCGTCCCACTTATGGGACGCTTGTTGTACACTTGATATAACGAAGTAGTAAAAAAAATGTTATTCTTAAATTTTTATCAGATAGAAATATGGTACTGCTACAAGTTTCAAATGTATTTTGCACTTAAAATGTTAATATTTTAGAAGATATGCATTTTCCTGTGCGCATGTTTTCTTTTTTCCGCCATTTTGACAAGTCCTGCAAATCCGGCATTATAACATTGTTCTAAATTAATTTTTTTCACAAAACACACACAAATTCAATAGTCTAGCCATTTTCAAATACAATGAAACATAATTTGTGTTTTAACTAGTTTTTAATAAATTTTAGCATTTTTTTTACAAGCGTCCCATAAGTGGGACGCTAGCAGAATATGGGTTAATCTCATAATACATTGTCTTCATGTCTTGACCCACGTATCAATTACGAACCGTATCTGTCAGTTAGAAGTGTCCGAGTTTTCGCTCCGGCGTTTCGATCTAGACAGACAGACAGACAGACAGAGGAAGTGAGTGTAATAAAAGCTTGTAAAAATGAATACTAAAATGAGAGGACTAACAGAAAACTTATATTATTTTAGAATATATGTTTATTTGTTTGTAGGTTTGTGGTAACAACAAAACTGGATTTCGACACATTTTTAAATGCAGAGTTTCTGCTAAGACTGTCCAGATAAGTTCTTCTCCAATAACATTACAAGAATATTATATGAATAATATACTTTTTTATAATTAAGGGGAGGTAACAAAATTAAATACAATAGCTTGCTAGATCTAGTCGGTTATTCGCCTGAGAGTCGACCCAGAGACGTAGCGACACTTCCTGATCCCCTCCCCCATATATTTATTATATTTATTATACAAAACTGCAGCTAAAATAAGCTTTTTGGCGCTTCCTGGGGTCGTCGCCCTTGGATATATGTACCCCTCCCCATTCGCTACGCCTCTGAGTCTTTCAGACTACTCGAACAACGGGATCACCGGCTCAGGAGTTACGCTCCCATAAGCCAGGCCGGCCTCGACGCAGTGTACTCCGACTAATTGGCTTAGCGTGGGCTGTTGGCAGCCTTAGAAGATGTCGGATTGAACACTGCATGTCGGTCGCTTTGCTTCCGTGGGCTCTCACCAGGCTTGCCTTCCCCACCACCTGGCGCAGGACGTCGTCCCACCGCTATGGAACCCAGATTGATCGTGGGTGGCCTTCGGACATTTAAGAAACAGAGTTAGGGGACTTCGGACTGCTCTGGCGGGTGGGTTCCCCTGCAACGAGAGCACAACCCCCCCCCCCCCCCGTCGAGCTCCCAATGCAGCTTCCCCCAGACGCCTTGGCAGGAAATGACGTTGTTCTATGGCATCGCGCAGTGCATCGCCTTCACTCCTTGGCGTACCCGCTCTCCTACTGGTTGGACTCGGGCTTGTCTTCCACTCCAGTACATCGTACTACCCGTCCTGGGAGTTGTACCTTGTCTGGCCTCCTGCTACGGTTTTCGGGCGATACACTTTCATATAGGTCCTGGTGTTCCATTCGCAAGCCAGGAACACTTAAAAGTCACATGGGGGTGCAACGCGGGGGCATCTAGCCAAAAGAAGACGTCGGCATTCGCGGACAGAGTTTTTTACGTGCTTCCGTGGGTAACTTGTAGCTATGGAGGTCAATCCGTACCCCGCCGAATAGGCACATTCGGGCAACCAGGCTAGCGCACATCTCACACATGGGGGGGGGGGGCGGCATTCATCACGAGCTGCCACTTACGCGGCTATCGGCCCAACTTGGGTTTTTGCCCGGTGACCCCCCTATGGCCGGGTCGCCGTTTTGTTGGCTTTGATTCCTGTCTCTCACCCGCGCACCAACCAGGTCGTCGGCAAGGGGCTGCGAGTTGGTTCTAGTGGGGACTCGGTTCGTCTTAGGCCGTTTTCTGAGTCAGGCCACAATGTCCGCCGCGCGGTAGTACGAGAGGACACCAGATTCTCGTACACAATTGCAAACGTCTTTCATCAATCCCAGGTTCTTGTATAAAAGATTATCAACGTCACAGATCCCATCAATGTACTCCCGCGCTGCTGGAGCTTAAAAAAAGAGCAAAAGCTATTTTATTGTCATCCATAAACACGCAACATAAAGAAAGGAAAGCAGATATTTTTTTTCCTGGGGAGGTGGGGGGGGGGGGGGAGAAGATATAAGAGAATTATGAGGTGTTAACCAGTTATTGTGGGTATACGACCTCGTCGTTTTTTTGCCATAAAGTTATCTATATAAGTTGATTAGCTAATTGTAAAATTCAAAGTTTAGAAATGACTGACAATGACATACATCGCAATACTACTATTGCGAAAGAAAACATTAGTTAAGTTGAACATCTCTTCGACCCATCATTCAGCGTTTATAATATCTTTATATCTGGCGACACAGCTGAATGATCTGGTATGTTCAGCGTTCATGTAGTAAAACACCAAAGGATAAAAAATAACTTTAAAAACATTGTCAAATCCAGATGTTTATTTTTTCTAGAAGTTTCTTTGATTCATTGTGTGTTCTGCAAGGGAGAAACATAAGACAGTGTTAATAAAACATTACAGTTTTATTTACAATCCAAATTATATATACATATACATATACATATATATATATATATATATATATATATATATATATATATATATATATATATATATATATATATATATATATAATAAACATACGGACTTTTCCATATTATTCACTTTTTTAATTTACATAGCACGCAAACTTTTGATGCGCATATTTAAACTTGTTCATCTTAAATCTACGATTGTTTTTAATTCAGTATGTAGACAACGTTTCTTTTTGTTATAATTTGATCTTCGCAATCCGTTTTATATTGGCCTTGGATTTTTCGGGTATTTCGACGAGCTTTTATGCCATTCAAATTTCAGAAAGTCTTAAGTATAACAAGATTGTGTTTAGAAGAAACATACACACGAAAGTATAACTATATTTATGTTTAAAAATTTATTTATAAACTTATAGAAACAACCCCAACGCTACGTATTATTTTACAGCGCCATATAACATACTTTACCTTTTATTTTCTACGATTGGTAACACATCTTTTTTTTCCGTCTCTAAAAAAAGAAAAGAAAAGTAATATTAACAATAATTGGTGGAGGTTTTGATTATTGAAATGATGTTTATAAACAGTTTTTCCCGTGTCGCTGTTATACCTTTAAATATAGTTTTCTAAAAAATTCCTGGATTCTGTAGCTCAATTTTGATATTAAGTTAAAAATGTTTTCATAAAAAACGTTTTAATAACAAATTTTTTACGTACTAATGCACTAAAAAGTTGAAAATGAATTATAGACTACGATTTCAACAACTATAAAGAAAAGCGTGGGTCACTTTAGGATCTATTGGATTACTTTACTAATGTTTAGGAAGAGACCCACGCTTTTCTGTATAGTTATTTAAATAGTAGTCTGTAATTTATTTTCTACTTTTCAGTGCATTAGTACATAAAAGCTTTTTATTAAAACGTTTTTTATGAGTTTTTTTTAGTACTTTACATGTTTTTACTTACAATAGAGTTTCATGACTAAAAACCATTGCGCGCCTATTGAACGCGATGACGCGCTATTGAACTTGATGACGAGTGTGGTGCGGTTCGATACAAATGAAATG